AAAAAAAAAAAAAAGGAATAGTAAATCCACTTTGCACCATGCTGACAAAGGACATCATTCCTCTCTGACCAGACGTGTTTTAGAGATTGACCTGAAAGGGGATTTTTTTTTTTTATGAGATAAGGTTCTTTTCTGTAAAGACAAGTAAATCTCCTGTCTTTCTGAAACAATCAATTATATTTGAAGGAGGAAAGGGAGACGGGCAGGTTATTTAAAAGCATGCCCCCAAATACGGAAAATAGCCAGGAACGAAGCATCCTTGTCTTACAACCGCTGAGCAATAGAATTCAGCACAGAGCTAATAAAAGATGGCAGGCAAGCCGACTACTGCTCCATATTTTCTCCTTCAGCAAAACATGTATTTAATATTGAAGCAAGAGGAGATAAGCTCGTTTATTTTAATTATCTCACACTTCTAAGAAGCTACTCTTAATAGAGTGGTTTCTTATGATCCTTTATACCTGTCTAGGGAGCCTCCAAAGTAAGCAAGCTCTGCTTCCTACTTCGTGGAGACTTCCTAATTCTCTTCCGTACTGAATGGCATCCATTCAATTACTGGTGTGGATGAGAAAGGGGTTTTGCACCAAAAATGGACATTTTCGGTGGTGGTTTTACTCCGTCCCCCACTTCCTACTCTAGCTGAGGTGCATTGTGGTGGCCCCCCAAATCAGCCATCTTGTGACGTAAGCTGTTTCCTTTTAACACCAAATGGCAACTCCATGGTTCAAACTTCATGGCTTCCTGCTGTTTTAGTTTTAGTTTTCTTTCCTATTTCAGGAAAGGAAGAGGAGAAGTCGGGGGGAGGAAAAAGAGGAAAAGGAGAAAAATCAAACTTTGGTAGACTGCTTTTAGATAATCCAACATCCTTGTCTGGCAGCTTTATTAAGACAGCAGGAGAAGAAGAGGAGGAGGAAGAGGAAGAGGAGGAGAAAAAGAAGAGGAGGAGGAGGAGAAAAAGAAGAGGAGGAGGAGGAGAGAAGAAGAGGAGGAGGTGGAGGAGAAGGAAAAAGAAGATATTTCTCAAAGCCCATTTCTAACTCAAAAATAGAAAATCTATTTTCTGGATGTTCAATACTCAGCAAACATTCTTTTAACAACATATTCCTCTCCCCTCCTCTCAAAGTACAGTCCAGCAGCAACAGCAAATAAAAATCATCGGCCTTTAAGATATAAATCACTTTCTTCTGCTCTCAAAAGGAATGAATATCATGAGGCTTTTAAGAAAACTGTATTTCTCTGCGAAGGCCATAATTTTCTCTCCCTGTTGCAAGTACGGTTTTGCCCACGTGACCCGCCACAGACCGAATGAGAAATTTCTAGGACAGATCCATTTAGAGAAAGTCAGGTTCCCACCGTACCATCAGAAGAAAATTTAAAGGCTCCAATTTCAGGCTCAACAGGATTACAGAAATTTTGCGGAGCATCGGACGAGTTTTCAATTATTGATTTGCTATTACTTCATTTGTGTTTACAATGTTCCCGTCCTGCTGTTTTAATCAAAGTCCTCGAAATACCTAGACCGCACGGTAAAACAAATCAATAAATAAAGACTGCGGATACCAAGAATTTTAGGTAATCCTCACCTTACAACCACAACTGAGCCCAACATTTGTGTTGCTAAGCGGGACTTTTGATAAGTGAGTTTTGCCCTTTTCTTGCCACAGTTGTTAAGTGAGTCACTGCCATTCTTAAGGAAGTAACATGGTTCTTAAATGAAACTTTGACTGCTTGACAGAAGGTGTTGCGGTTCGCTGGCAGCAGGTGCAGATGGCTGAGATCTTGGAGAATGAGGACTCAGATGAGGAGCCTGCATGTGATGCCAGGACTATCGGAGAGTAGAATGCTGCCTTTGGAGCTTGTGGAAGCCGGCAGCAGTGATGAAGAGGTCCCCGAGGTGCCTGTGCTCAATGTGCATGCGCGCAGGGCTGCTCAAAGGAGAGAGCAGCTGCAGCAGCACACAGGTGACTCGGGAGTAAGGCTGCAAGGTAATGGCTCCTCCCTTAAGAGATAAAAGCCAGCTGAGAAGCCCGAGTTCTTTGCAGGAAGCAAAGAAGTTTTTGCACTCAAGCCTTATGGACGTTCGGATTATCTTAGATTGTGTTTGGAGACTTTTTGTGCTTGAAATATTTCTTGGCAACTTTCTCTGGTGTTCTTGGCAGCCTTGCACAACCTTGGCAAGGCTCGTTCTTATCAGAGACAATTAATTTTAATAGCCTTTTAACCGTGAAGGAATGGAATTTGTAAATAATCATTACAAGGTTTTGCTGTTACCTCAGTTTCCTGTTTGTTGGGTCAGAACAGAAGGTTGCCAAAGTCATCATAAAATCCTGGGACCCTGCAACCATCCTAAGAACATGCTGTCAACTCATAAAATATTTCTCTGGTCTTTTAGAGTTGCCAACAGAAAGGGAGGGAGGAGCAGTGCAGCAGCTTGCAAAGCGAAAGTGCATTCCATAAATGTTTTCAAAGATAGTAACTAGGTGACTGAAGTTTCTGCCACGCAAAATTCTAACTGGAGAAGATGATTGATGACTCTTGGCTATGGAAGTGTCCCATTGGAGAATATGAATTATGATACACCCAGAGGGGTGCGGGGAAACCAGGGTCAAGCGTGACAAGGAATGATGTGCCTCAGAAACGACTACACCCAGGCAGTGCCAGCATGTTTACTCCTAATAAACCTTTAAGTTTTGAAAATCCAGGTAGAGACTCCTGATTTAAATGCAAGTAACTAATGAAGCCCTGACACACGCCAGTTGCCAAGTGTCTGAATTTTAATCACATGACCACGAGGATACTACAATGGTTGTAAGCATGAAAAACGGTCATGTCACTTTTTTTCAGTGCCGCTGTAACTTTGAATGGTCATTAAATGAACTGTTGTAAATCGAGGATTACTGGTAATACCCAACACCCTAGAAGATAGGCTCAAGATCCAAATAGATCTTGACAGACTTGAACACTGGGCCCTATCTAACAAAATGAAATTCAACGTAGAGAAAAAGCAAGAAAAACCAAAAGTACACATATAGGCTGGGTGAAACCAGGCTCAATAGCAGTAATTGTGAGAGGGATCTTGGAGTCTTAGTGGACAACCAGCTAAATATGAGCCAGCAGTGTGCAGCTGCCGCCAAAAAAGCTAATGCAATCCTAAGTTGTATTAACAGAGGGATACAATCAAGATCAAGGGAGGTACTAATACCACTCTATAAAGCCTTAGTAAGACCACACCTTGAACACTGCATCCAGTTTTGGTCACCACACTATAAAAAAGATGTTGAGACTTTAGAAAGAGTGCAGAGAAGAGCAACCAGGATGATTAGGGGACTGGAGACTAAAACATTATGAAGAATGGTTGCAGGAACTGGGCCTGGCTAGTCTAGGGAAGAGAAGGACCAGGAGAGACAGCATAGCAGCCTTCCAATGTTTGAGGGGCTACCACAGAGAGGAGGAAGGGGTCAAGCTATTTTCCAAAGCACCCAAAGTCCAGACAAGGAATAACAGATGGATGGAAACTTTAATGCAAGACAGATGCGCCGGCTTTAAAAAAAAAAAAAAGCAAAAAACACAACAGCAACTTTGAAAGCACACCCAAGCATCTTTGCTTAATAATCTTTCTACAGAGCTTCACTGCGGGTCCTTTGGGAGTCATGGCAAAAGGCTACCATATGGATTAGCATCAGCAAACTTCCAATATATATGATGGAATAATGCAAAGCTTTTTTTGCCTTTTTTTTCTTTAAAACAACAACAACAACAACCTAGCAACTTGTCTGTGATTATTAAGAAAGACACCCCTTGTCGGTAGGTTATTTCTTTAAAAAAGCAACCTCCGAGAGCCGATGCCTTCAGAGAATGTTTCCGTTTAAGATTATTTGGCCTGTCAGCATATCCAGTTCATCAGCACCTCACCCACCAAGTTCTATTTCCTAAGGTCTGAGGCGCAGAAGGGCAAACGTTTTGCCCCTGAAATATGTTTGCCAAAGCAAAATGCCGTAGAATTGTAAGACCTTCAGGAGAAACTCTGCAGACACCATGGAGTTTCATTTTCAGTCTTGCGATGTCAGCGTATATCCATAATTGCATCTATCTTCTGGGTCTTGTAAAGTCACGCAAGCTTGCAAAGGTACACAATTTCCCTGAAAGGGGGTTGGTTTTCCCAGAAGCATCCATCACAGGATGACTCTGGGGTAGGCATCCAGGTTTATCTATCTTCACATAGTGTCTTCTAACTCAGTGGTCGCCAACCAATGGGCCGGGGACCACTGGTGATCCGTGAGAAAATTTTGATGGTCCGCCGAGAAATGTTACACCCAAAGCAATTAATCCAGGCTGTGCGGGAACACAAGGCTTGCGTTGCTTGCACTGTGAACAACACGTAGTGAGGGGAGGGGAGAAAGGGTGGAGGGGGGTGAAATTTACCCACTCGCTCCACGCGCCTGGCCTAGCACCGGTCTGCTTCTTTCTACTTCTTTCTTCTTTTGCTTTTGGCTGCATGCAAGGAAAGCAGCCAAAGTCTTTCTTTCTCTCCCCCGAACTCTGCCAGAAATGAGTCTTTGGGACCCTGCAAGGCCTCCTGCTCCAAGAAGCTGTGCCGGTGCGACAAGTCCCACAAAGACTCATTTCTGGCAGAGTTTGTGGGGAGAGAGAGAAAGGCTTCTGCTGTGTCTGCTGCTTTCCTTGCATGAAGCCAAAAGTCTCTCTCCCCCGCCCCCCCGCCCCCCCCGAGAACGGAGCTGGAGACGGTATCCTGCGATCCCAAATAAACAATGATCGATCAGTAGGAAAACAGGGTGGGGAATTTTCCTGCAGACTTTGGGGGGGATTTTCCCAGGGTCTCTGGTCCTTAAGATTTAAAATTATGAGTTTGGTGGTCCCTGAGGTCCAAAAGGTTGGTGACCCATGTTCTAACTCATGCAGGATGAAATGGGTTACATTTGGGCTCTCCTGCATTTCTATTGGGGTCCCCCAAAGATGCTAGAGTTGGAAAGGTACTCAAAATGACTTCTTTGGGCTTGAAGGTGGGATAGGAAGTCCAAGTCTCAAGAAACAAAATGGGGATGTTGTCTGTTGATCTGAAGATGGTTGTGGAATGCTTCAGCCTCCTAAAATTGAACCCTGGTCTCAAAACAACTCTGGGGCCACCAATATTTGGAATGTCACTCTGGGACCAAAATATGTAAGGAAAAGATCCACATATCTAATTTAGTGCAATGCTGAGTATTAGTTGCTTACCAGCAAAGATTCAGGTAGGTTTTCTTCATTCTAAATTGGAACCAGTTTGACGGTTGAAATTCTATCCCAGTCATCTCAACAAATCTAGTTAAAGAGAACTTGGCGAGGATCGTACTTGGAGAACGATCACGTCCGTTACTTAGGTAATTGCCCAAAAGACTGGGTCTTCTATAAAGGCATGTGGGTTTTCCTCCACCCCTTCATTCTGAGAGTTGAAATCTTAGAGCTTCTACTCAACCACAGAATCATTGCTAGCTTTTCCACACATGGTAAGGTCTATGCCACAGCTTCCTTCAAAAGCAAAGCCATTGGAATGCTTACAAACTACACACACACACACACACTCAAAAAAACCACTCTGCTAACAATGCAGAATCTAAAATTACATTTTAATGGTAATGTGAGCAAATCATCCTTTCTGTGTATTCAAGCAATTTCCATTCATTTCCACCACCCCCTCCTAACTTATTCAAAGTAGCAGGGTGATATTATAAAGACCAACGTATAATTTACATCGGAGGTAGTGGGAAAAAAAAACCAGGCTAGCATTGTACAATAATAACACTGGAGAAGGTGTGTGCATGTAGGAGGCAGAATAAAAGGGAGCCCGAAATCTTTGTGTAGAATTATACAACTTGATGTAACAGCTGCCAACACTAATCTCGTAGGAAGGATATTTAGCTAGAATTCAAAAGATTCCAACGCTTCCCCAGAAAATCAAAAGAGAACTCATAAAACTCGGTTGCGATCTATTCTGGAGCATCAACAACTCAGACTGGGTTATATTTAGTTCCACATTTTCATAGGGTTAAGCTAACTCTGTTCTGTCAAACTCACCTAACTTGTACACCGCCACTTGTCCAATATTCATAGTCAAGTCAAAGTCCTAGAGAGGCCTTATTTATTTTTAACAGGGTTTCTTCAGGTATTTTTTTTTCCTGCACCATTATTTTGGCTTTCAACTCATCCTCCCCAACAGGAGGTTGAAAGGAGAACACCTACCCCAATAATCTCATCATGATTTAAAAAAAAAATGTTCTCATTTTTCATCTGTTGAATAAAATGTGAGCAGTAGGAAGCGGGTGTGAGGGACTTATAGCCTCTTTTACAGTGCCTGGAAAGATGAAAAACAGAAAAGGTA